TCAAACTCCAGGTAAAGCAGTGAATTTATTCATTCCACAATATTTATTGAGTGCCTGCTACCCACCAGGCAGAAGTCCCAGTTTAGCTCTTAAGAAGTTGTAGAGGGGGGAAATGTAAAACTTGGCAAGGCACTCAACATCTCTAGGTCTTAGTAAAACAGGAGAGCTGTGTTAGTTTCTTAGGACTGCCGTGACCAAGTACCACAAATTGAGTAGCTTAAAACAACAGTCATTGTCACAGTTGTAAGGCCTACAAGCCTGAAATCAAGGTTTCAACAAGCACATGCGCACCATGGAAACCTGTAGAAGACTCTGTCCTTGTGCACCACTTACCCCTCCACAGACCCCACTCCGACACCTAAAGCAAAGAATGAGGAGGGAGGTGAAGGGGGCTCGTGATCAATCATGTTAAACTTTTGTCACATAATAATGCCTACTCTAACCTACCCTCAGACAACCCACTTCTCACAATTAAACATGCTTAGAGATGTGCTGGAGACATGATTTAAGCTAAAATAAAAAGAACGCTGATAATAAATAGATGGGAATTTTTAATTTTTTATTCACAAACCATGATTCTTATTGAATAATAAAATAGAGCACAATTAACAATAACATAACATTTAAAATTTAAATTTTCGGAATTACCTTGATCAATATATAAAGTTTTAGTTTCTGGGAAAATATAATGCTTTATTTCAACAGTATTTGCCTCACATGCAAAACAGCTTCCCGAAATAGGGGATTTATGAGCAAAATTTTATAAACCTTCCAGTGTACATAAAAAATTGACTCTACCACATCAACTGTACCCTTCTAAAGATCCAAAACATAAAGGCTTGAAGGACCAATATAGAGCCCTGTTTTCTTGAAGCTTTCAAAGATAAACCTGAAAGATTTATAAATGGAACATTACCCACCCTCTACCACTGATTCAATATGTTGGGCAGAAGAGTGGTAAATTGTGGCCTCATGACAACATGAGAGAGAATTATTCTTAAATATGTAGCTACATATATCAATATCATCCTTATTTCAGACACACACATACCCATGTGTCAGCATCCTTTGAAGTGAGAAACTCACTTTCCCGTGTTAGAATAGTAACTGAAGTCAAAATAACAACATTTTATGGAATGATGCAATGTGACACTGTCTTTTGGCAAGGCACACGAAAACGCAACACACCGGCTAGAAATAATTCTGAAAGAAGCCTACTCCTACTGACATATACTTAATTAAAAATGTATATTTACTGTTTAGTTTCCTGAAGTAAAATAACAGACCTCTATTCAAAGTAGTGATAAAAATAATCGCAACTCCCAATGTAACTTAATTACCCCCACTGTAACTTAAGACATTTAATAGTAACAGGAAATACCATTTGAATAGAAAATAGAAAAAGTTTAAGTTCTTACAAGTGCTATGCTTTACTGGAATTTGATAACAAAGAAAAATGAGGCATATGCCCTTCTGTTTAACAGAAGCCTCTGTGGAGAGTATAAAAGGGTCTGAAGCTTATCCAAGAGTGAATCCACTTACTGTAAGTGTCTCCGATTCACAATGTGCCAGAAAACGGTGCACCCAAGAATAAGTACACAATGGCACTCGGACCCATGGTAGCCATTTGGCAAACTCAAAATATGTATCGTCCTTATGTTAAGAAACCTTGTCGAGGAGGTATTTACAACATATTTTTATGGAAATATAGAAAGTGTTAAACTTCAATAAATCAAATTTTTTAAAATAAGACTGTTACAAATAACTCCAGATTATATACCAACAGATTAATAAAATGGCTTGTTTTTAAAATGACCAAAAAAATCATAGCTCCAACTTTTTAAAAATGTCATAGGACAACCAGGAATGTCTGATGAAATAAATGAATTATATCAAAATAAAGATAATTGGTGTTATAGTGCCAGACTACTTATAACTCTATTTAACATAAACAGAAATTAGGACTAAATATAACTTTAAAAAGATAACTAGACCCAGGCTCAAAAGAATGGGAGCAGGGAGAATTAAGCTATCTACAGTTCTGAAAATTTCCACATGTAGGATATGTTATTGCATATATAGGTAACAAACTGTAAGGTAATAGATATATATCTGGATTTTATAGTAGCACAACGCTCCTTGGATTTTACTATAATCAAAATACTAAAGCAAAGATATTGTCAGAACACGTGGAAAACATAAAGTACAAAGGACAATAAAAGGAAACATTTCATTGACCTGGAATATTTTAAGGAGCTTTAATTCTTTTTCAGAATTATATCTGAAGGTAGAACGATACTGAAACCAAATATAAAAGCACTGTCCTATTCTTGAATTGTTTGGCTACTAGTTTCCCCAACATTCAGTCCCTGGAACCACTGTCCAGTCGACACTGGAAGTGCCAATGCTGGCGTCTCAGTGAGGTTCCCAGGCAGGGGGACAAGGGGGACTTTAAATTCGTTCCTATCGGGAAATGAAACTGATGGCCTCGTGCATGGAAGAGCCTAAGTCAGCATAAGCAAACTTACAGGTAAAGTGAATTTTTAATATTCTGACTCATAGTACCTGAAGAAAATGGACTATACCATCAATTTTCACTGTTACATGTCCTTCTTTCTCCTTATTTTGGTGGCTTTTTAATCACATTTCATCCGACCCACGACCTGTGGCCGGCGAGTGCTCCGAGGCTGGAGGGAGCCAGGGCGCCTCCACCACAGCCCCCAGGCCGCGACCAGAGCAAGGGACCCTCTCCCCCGCCCTCCCCTCCGCTTCACTTTTAATCAGTGTATAATCAAACGAAAGCGGTTACGAGGTCACTTTTTCACCTGAAAATCTGAACGACTTCACAGAAATAGTGTTAGAGTCTAGTTTTTAAATGAGGAAATAGGGTCTAAAAAAGACTCAAGCTGTCTCCCGCTGGCCTTTCCACTCTAGTGTTTCCTAATATACTACACTCAAAGCTCGGGATAAATTATCTACCAAAGAATAGAAGGCCCTGATGGGCAGCATAAGCTTCCCTGGGCAAGGCAGGGGAGGGGTATCTGCCAACACCCCCACCACCATCAGCTTCACCATAAGATACTTTCATTTCTCGAAAAGTCCTGGGGTGTGAAGCTGAAAGCATCCTACAGGAGGCCACACCTAGCAATGCTTATTCTAGATCAGCGTGGTTAAGGGTGTGACAGAACTTTTCCCCACTTGAAAGCAAACACGAGAGAGTTCTGTGTTTGATATTTAACTGCTCTTTCTCCATAGATTCTCTGAGAGGATCTTTTTTCCACAAGGAGGTGTCAAGCTTGTAACACTGAATGCTGGTGATTTCTACTTTGGTATCCAAAATATCCATAAGCAATACATTTCTTAAAATTCACTAAAAATAAAATTCTCTTTAAAATTCCACTTAAAGGATGTACTTGCATACTTTATTTTTGATAGATTTAAATAGTTGAAAATATTGTAATGCAGACTCTCTGGAGCCCATGGTAATTAGTTTTCCCATGTCCACTTGAGAGATATGCCATGGAGTTAAGGAGTAACATTAAAGCATTTCTTAGATTTAGTAAAAGATCTTTGTTTTTGTTTGTATCTAATATATTTTAATAAATGTAGAAGGGAAGTAAGAAGAGTGAAGAGAGAAAAGAGGAGAAGAAGGAAAGGAAATTTTCTTTAAGATTTCACCCAGATAAATGAGTACTATTCTTTAGAATACAGGGTAACCAAAGACCCAGGTGCTCAAAATTTAGAAAGCTCCTTAAAGATTCGAAGCAAGCATCAGATGTCACCTGACAGCTGGCAGTCTGACACTCAGACACATGAGCCTAGAAGAGCTTCTCCAGGCCCCGGGCAATGCCTACAATACTTCATTCAGGTCAGCCGTCCTGTCAAGACTCTTTGGTTCCTGTCAAACCTCAGCTTCTTTCTCAGACCAGAGAGGTCAGTCTGCTGTGTCATGTATGATTTTGTCATACCCCTGGCTTATCACCCTCTGTTATGAACAAAACTTCTGCCTCCTGGTCTAGTCTAAGCCGCAGAAGGCGAGTATTGCAATGCACTACAACCCTCCCCCCGAAACAGAGCCAGAGTGTGAAGCTGGGGACATCAGGAGAGCAGCGCACGAGGACCCCTTCAGGCAGCTTTCTGCAAACACCCAATGTCTAACCCAACCAACCAGCAAAGCACAGGAAAACACATTCCCTCTCGTTCTTCTCTCCAGAAGAAAAATCGAGGAAGAGTCAAGTAGTGTGTGGTATGTGATTACATTTGGAGTGAAAAAAACACCATTTTGCTTAAAAAAAAAAAAAATCCCCACCTACATTCGAAAAAGAAGGATGTGATACCCAATTACAAAGAGTATACTGAGACCACTGGGGGTGTGATAGGGTGGGGTGGGGAGTAGGGTTAAGGTAGATGTGGGAAGGGAACAGAACAAGCCCCTCGGTCTGGTAGTTTTCTCCCAGTTCTCAGGAAATCCATCTTTAATGCTAAAAAATAATATGAACGAAGCCACTTTAAAATGGAGTGAGAGCTGCCATTCCAAAGGAGCTGCCTTGCAAGGCTGACGCCTCACACCTTTGGAATATTCAAACAGGGCAACATAACCTTCCCACTGGGTCTAAAGCAGCCTTGTGTCTGCAAGAGTAACAAGAAAGCAGCTATTGTGACAACCAGGCTGATGGCTACCGGACTGAAAATTAAAAACATTGTTTAGAATTAGCAGTGCTATGTTAGCCTATCTGCACCAATAGAAGTGCCTTCCTTCTATTGATGTCACTGTTTTCCTTCCTTTTCTCATAAATACCCCTTGTCTTTGTCTCCTAATTCGAACATTGTTTGGGCTTCTGCCTGAATCAGTTCTTTCCCAGTAACTATTCTTTTTGATCTCAAATAAATGCTGATGCCTCTCACTTTGGACTTTTATTTTTAGGCTGTCAATACTAAAGGAAAGACTGGTGTTGAATAAGTCTTAAGAACTTCATTTCTTCTGGAAAAGGAAAAGAATAATGGATCTAAAATAACACATTTATTCTGGAGAAAACAAGACCTCCCCAAAAATCCTAAAACATTTTAAGAGGAAAAAATAAAGATATACAATTGCAATAATTCTAGATTTTGTTCCACACAGAAGTCAGGTGAAGACATCTATGCAGCTATACATATTAGGATCTGTCATACAAGCATTCCCCTCAACCCCATAAAAAGAAAAAAAACTGTTTTTCAAAATAGTCAGAAGCAATATTTGATTATGAAAATAAGGCGATCCCGTGTGACTCTGGAAAGGTGTTCCGTGGAGTCCTTAAGAAATAAATCACAGCCAACGTTGCAACGAGAACAGAAGCATGACACAGAAAACAAAAATGACTGAAGAGTGACGAAGGGAGGCAGGAGCTCCATTCTTGCAAAGACCACAGCCTCGGACGTCTCTGCAGAGGTCACAAGAGGACAGCTTCATTCTGGAGTTGTAACTTCTCACCGCTTTTCTCCCTGTTCAAAGAGGCGGACATCAGTTTACACGTCTCCCTTGTTTAGAAACATTTACTTTGCCAAAACTTAAAAGCATTTCAATACACTTTCCTGAGTTTTCCATTCTCCATATAATTTTATTTTTCTTTACAAGAAACAACTGAAATGCTCCAGAGGGGCCCACACTGCTAAGCAAATCCAAGAGAGAAACAATGCTTTCAGTCCAATCTATCTACCACCAGCAGTTGGCCGCGCCGAGAGAGAGAAAATGGACTGCAGCTGCATGCTTCCACGGCAAGCACGCCTGCAGTCTCGTGGAACAGGAAAGATTTTAAATTAAGGGTTGTCACCTCCTCGAGAGTTTATTTTAAGGTGACATTTTCTATGCATTCGAGTAGAGTTCTGATCATTAGAACTACTGAAAAGGATATTTATATTAACTCTAATTGAAATATTTTTTTTTTAAAAAGAAAAAGATATTTATCATGGGTTTTATTTAAAAGTACAAAGATATGAAGAAAACTCTGTTTATGCAATGCCTTGCTTCAGTGTTTTAATACGGTGATTTTCAACCGGTGTGCCACAAGAATTTTTAAAATATGCAATGCCAGACTATTTAGTCAGGGCACTGACCTCTTTTCTTTTAGATTGTTGAATAAAATAAAGGACAACAGCCAACATAACCATAGCCATCTGGTGTGAATGAATCAAAATTATACTTATTTTTTGTCAGATCAGCAAAAAATATAATTTTTGATATGCTGCAGAATTTTAGTAATTAGTTTATGTGTGCCATGAGATGAAAAAGGTTGAAAATTGCTGCTTTAAAACACTGAGCACATAATCTCTAAACACTATTCAGCTTTGGTAAATTTTATAGGATAAGCTAATATGAAAAAAACTATATAAAGCACTATATAAGCTCACTATAAAACAAACGATTTTAATTTTCACAATTTTCAAAAATATTCTTTATTCAAATTTCCTCATGGTGTTTCCATCTTTTAATGTTACAAATATGTTTTCTAACTTTAGGATTTTCAAAAATGGGTTGGTAGGTTCTTATTAATCTGATCTTTCCCAAATGTTCACCTTAAAATGTGCCCCTTATAAATAAGTTGTTTTCCACACACACAAAAATTATATAGACTGAACCTTTTTTGTTTGAAACATTTAAAACATTCTCCATACACCTAAGAAACATCAACTGGAGAATTTTGCAGTTAGGTTAAATAACAAAGTTGGACAACTAAGGACTGTCCTTGAGCCTCCACAGCATATCCCATCCTTCCAGCAGAAAAAAAGTGCATCACTGTTTCCCTAGAATGTCCCACAAGAACTTAAATGAGTGCTCTTCCCCAGTTCCAATAGGAGCCAAAGAGGAGAAAAGCTGGCTTGTTGATTTAGGAGAGAGAACTGGTGCTACACCTTGGTCCTCAATGAATACTGTCAAAAATTACTAACAATGTCAACAACTTCATTTTCTTTTAAAGTATAATTACCTACAACTACCTAACACACACAAAAATGTTCATGATTCTCAGGCATTCTGGTGACTCTAAGCCACCAGGAATGTTTTTTCAGGATAAGTCTTATTACAAGTGGAAACATCAGCCTGGAGGTCACACAGCCCCGAAACGATGATCTGTGAATGCAGATTCATCCTAATTAACTTAGGTGATCTCCAAACCAGATCTCTACTTTCACATCCTAAACTTCTAACATTTTATAAAGTAAGAAGTTACCAGTAAAATCAAAAGCTCAAGTTATTTCCCAAACTATAATTTTCTTGATATGCTACAAAAAAAAAAAGGCTGTTGTATAATTTTTAGCAAAACAGCAGACTCCCTCAATGAAGAAACACTAAATGCATGAGACGTTTCCACTGCCGATCCCCCCAGTAAAACAAACGTCAGGTGGAATGGGTGCTTGGAATAGGGGCAAAACCTGGGAAACTAAACATAACTGGACTGTCAATTTTTCTTTGTAAATTTTGGAATTGTGAGTTAAAAACCTAAACATTACGAGCAAAAGCATCACTTTTTAATATCACATGCTAAATATTATCATGTGACCTTTGTAAATGATCAGTTGTCTTCATTTAAATGGAAAGCTTACCTCCTGCTCCCCTACCCCTCACACTTCCCCAACAAACCCCCCAACATAAAAACAATCCAGTTGGCAACCACTTTGAATAAATAATGAGTGAATGAGTGAATGAATGAATGAATGAGTGAATGAATGAATGCCTGACTTAACTCCTAAAGTAACAAGAACTTCAGAACACACTTACTTGGTTCATAGTAATCCACTATGGACACGGAAACATCTTGTGTATTTGAAACTTTAAAGTTTCTCACCGCAGGAATATCAATACAGAATTGGGTGGCATTTACCTTGAAAAATACAACAAACTTTTAAGGAAATGGCAGGCTATGTGTTCATGAAAAAGCAAAAGATATTTCTTTTTCTTATTTTAGGAAATAGATATAGAAACTAACATTTTGGGAGCACTTCTACATGCCCCGTGCTGTGGTAAGCACTCTACATAAATTATCTCATTTAACTCATAAAACAATCCTTACAGGACAGGCATTGTTCTTACTTCCATTTCACTGAACGGAACAGATAGTGAGTGGTAAAGAAAGCAGCAAGCCCAGGGACACACGCTCCTGGGCGGTGGTGCCTCCCCCAGATCCCCTGCCTCAGGCAGTGCACCCTCCCAGGTTGCTGCTAACAGCTCACAGCAGCCCCCTTCTCCAGAGAATTGTCCTCAGCTCACAGGAGCCACTTCTCCCACTAAGTGAGGGAACCCCAGGGTGGGTGGATGCACCCCACAACCAATAACTGGCTGATACGAAGTACAAAAGGCCAGCCTCCTTGCCTCCAAGAGGGGCAGCTTATGCCAATTTGGCAAACAAGGCTGGTTAAGGAATCCAAAACTGATAAATTCCTGCAAACATTCCATCATGTACCAATTAGCAGTAAATAAAAATTCAAATAAATCTGTCAAAACATAATGAACACTCAAATTAAGATAACTGTTAACAAGAACATCTCAGGTACAGGAAAAACTCCAAAACCAATTACACTATTAAATAAAAACCTTAAATTTGTTCTTCAAGTTCCAAATCAGGCCTGTGGCTTTCAAACAGTATTTAATATGTGAAAATTCCTGGACAGCAAAAGAATTCTAGAGGCCCTGAATTAATTTTGAAAGGTTTTTCACTAGAGTTATTTTTTAAACACTGAGAACATGCAGGAACTAGCTTTTCAAAAGTAGGTATATTGCTAGAGCAATATACTTCTGATTCATATTTGGCAAAACTGGAATAAGAAACATACATATTATATTCCCCCCTCACAACGTGAAATCTTGAGAACACTTAGAATTCAATTTCAATTCAACCTATGAATTTCATACAGATGTGAGAAGGAAGGAATAAACTTACACACTAGCAGTCTGGAGACACAAGTGGAGTCTTGGATTCTTCACTTACATTATATTCTCACATATTTTATGCATTTTATTTTTGGATCAGTAATTTTCATACAGCAATGGGAAGTACGCGTGAAAATTATATAATAATTGTGTGTAAAGACCAAACCTCTGAGAACTTTCTTCTGTGATTTAAGCACGTAACATCAATGCAAGACTATCAACCCCTTTGGGATTTATTAAAAGCTTCATAAAACCATTTTAAAACATGAAATGAAAGCTTTCATCATCAGCATTTAAACAAATTGTTTAGCAGTTCCCTGAGGTGGGGGAGGGGTTCTCAAAGTGAGATCTGCACTTAATTTTTAAAATTCTGATACGGCAGTTTCTGTATATTTTATATCTGGCATGAAATAATGACTTGGTTAGCAAGACTTTCATTAGTGTCACCATCAATAGTAATTCTCTTTATTATTTTTTTAAATAAATTTATTGGGGTGACAATGGTTAATATGAACATATAGGTTTCAGGTATGGGTTTCTATGTTGCAAGATCTGTATATTGCTCTGTGTGCCCACCACCCAAAGTCGTATCTTCTCCTGTCACCATATAGTAAGACTCCCTTCACCCCCCACCACCTTCCCTCTGGCAACCACCACATTGCTATTCATAATTCTCTCTAAACTGATTTTATAATGGTATCTTTTTAATGAGAACAAATATATGATTGCCGTGTTAAAGTCATTCAGGGACACAAAACGCTGAAATAACAAAAAGTATGCATACAGTAAGGGAGACTCTGAATACAAGAAATGGCAGCTTTGCCCATGGGCACCTGTGTGAAACAGGTTTTACTACTCACAGAATCTAAGTACAGGTTGAGTTTTCCATGATCAAGCTCCACTTTCTTCACCGTGTCGCTCAGAGGAATTGCGTCTGAGGTCACAATAAAACCGCTGAGCAAGTTAACTTCCATCAGGGCCATGCCACTTCTTTCTGGGCCCAAAAACCTAAACGGAAAGAAAAAAATGCAAGAAAAAACGAAAGCTGCTGGCAAACTATCTTCACAGAAGAATTAAAACTGCCAAGTGCTTATCACTATTTTGTTAAAACAAAAATCACTACCGAAAATTGTGAAACAGGTAATCCTTTCCTCCCAGGTGTGACTTTCTCACCACGTTCAGCCCATGAGGAATAAGGCTATAACGTGTTCACTAACAGACGGTATGACATGCCTGCCGTGTAAGGGGCCTGTGCCTTAGGCTGTGACAAGCGCAACCTCGGTGCCCTGCCAGCAGTTTCCATTTTCCCAAAAGCTCACAGCCCTACAGGCTCCAGCCAAAAGCCAGGATTCCAACAGAGGCATCACTGGACCACTTAGCAGGAGACCGCGGCCAAGTCCTCAGCAACCTTCCCTTCATCTGGTTTCACAGGAAGAGGGAGAGTCCTTCCCTTTGTTCTCCCGCATACTTGGAGCACATCTCGTGTTTTCTTTGGCCACCTCGAGACAGCGACAAGCCTCGGGGAGTTTTATCACACGGCCTCGTTCTCTCGCCCTGCTGTACACAGCGTCGGTATCAAAGCACCTGGCCACCAACAACATTTGTCTCCTTTAAAATAAATATTTTTCTAAAATGAATGGCTGGCGGGAGCTGTCTGTTTGGAGCAGAGAGAGCCCCGCATGGGTAGGGAAAGGAGCTTGTCTCCAGCGTGGAAGGATCCTAGCACTGTTGAGTCAGCTCCCGCTGTCCTCTCGCACAGCAAACCCAAGCAGGCCTGGCAGAAATCTTGCTTTTTAAGAGCAGTGAACTGATGACCGATCGAAAAGCCATGCGGTACAACGGCTGACTGCCGCTGGCTGGGCGATCCCAACTGTAAAGTCTCTTGATTCAAGAACTTTCTAAAGGAGCTGCTCTCAAACTTGTGTGTGTGCTAGAATGACCAAGAAAGCGGAGGAGGGCGGCTTCGCCCCATGTCTAGGAAGTCAGCAGCTTTGTGGTGGAACCTCTCTTTCTCATGGCTTAACAAGATCCTCAGATGTTTTGGATATAGGCCAAACTTACAAATCGCCTTACAAGTACTCCTGGAAGCTATAAGTGTCTGATTATTCTGAACTGCAATATGCTCACTATGTCTAAGAAACAAAACGATTCTTTTCATTGAACTTGCCTGCTCTTACGAAGTTTTCAGTTAAAAATATAACACTGAAGACTAAATATGAACCTAGAATAATAATTTAACAGAAAAATGACTATCAACAAGAAATATACCAATTTGGGTGTATTAAACATGATTGGTGAATTTCAAGTTTTTATCAATTAAACTTGAGTTTTTATTAAATTTTTCTATGCAAAGTTGTTATAAATACAAAGAAAACTTGCAAATAATTCTGGATACACTGAGAAATGCTTAAATATAATTAGTAGTTCACATATTTCTAGTCTATAATCTAAAGTGTAATGCATAACTGAAATCTCTGTTAAATGCAACTCCTTATGCGTTGATAATAGTTACACATATATAAATAATTAAATCTTCAAAAAATTTTTTTAAGGAGAAAGAGGAGGAAAAGGAGGAGAGACTTAAACAGATACCAACCTTGTGCACACATTCAAATTCAAATGATTGATATCATCTGTATTATCTTTTACAGCAACATTTAAATCAAAGGCTTCTTGATTTTGGATCGATTTTTGTCTTCTGGAAGACTTTGAATCTTTTACATTACAAATAACATTTAGCTGCAAGAATAACAAATTAGCAGAAATAATAAATTAGCAATAAATTGTTAGCAATACATTGTCATCATTATGTATTCTGAATGTTAATGATTCTCAACTACATTCACAATCTCCAACTAGAAAAAGATTCGTTTTACCAGCTAACACAGTATCATTCTTAACAAACATTGCTATGAAAGTTTATAAACAATGATTTTTAAAATGGAGAAAATTGTTAGGTAACATTCCAAAACAAGTATCATAGACTATCATGAATGATATTCATGGGTATTATTTTTTTCAAAGAATGTAAAACATTCCCTACAGGGAAAAAGTGAAACTATTGCCAACTTTCTTCAGAGTATCCACTAATTTCTAAGCTCTGCTGCCCAACTGAAGTCATTTTTCACACACTGTAACCTTAGAAACTCTACAATAAATCTAAACTAAAACATCCAAGAGTCTTGGTTGCACAGAAACCTGTTCAACTGCTGAAGATTCTTTTTGCTCATACAAGGTTTTTCAGAGATGATAAAATGAATGATGCTTTTCAAGTCAACTGGGTCTTTTTCAGCATATACATACTCCATGCCCACCAACCATGTGAGGTGCTGCGCGGACACTGGTGGAGTGTGAGGACCAGTGTTTTTCTCAAAGGGATCCTAAGAAGCTTGGCAATATATTCAAAATTTTCTAGGCCTGCCTCATGCCAAGCTGAACTGGCATCTAAATTTTTTTACCTCTGCCATTTTTTTGATGCCAAGGTTCATAAGCCTTACTATTGCTGTGTAAGGTTGGTTTGGGTTTTTTTTACTTATACTTAAATCACACACACACAGAACTAAACCTCTAGTACCCATCATGGATTTATATATCTTAAAAATCCTTTCTCTTAGCCTTCATCTTCCGAAAGTAAGAGTTCCAACTTATGCTGCCACATTTAGCTCATGTAATGCTTCATCCCCTTGATCATGCCTGTAATTCACTCTGGAAATTCTCCAACTCCTTCTTAAACTACAATTAAAATTATAGAGTATTCTTGGAGCAGGTGAAGAATGGTCCCATAAAGCTGGAGAGGTGACCTCTGTTACTTCCATCATCCCTTTTCCAGTGGCATAGGACCGACATCATCCGGAAGCAAACAAGGACTGCGAGATTTGTCCTCAGGGACTTAATTAATACCATCTATAACTAAGCATTAGGGTTTGTGTTTAGCCTGCGGTAAAGCTCAGCTGCTCAGTCAGAGAACTTCCAGAGATCTTGTAGCTTATTTCCAACAGCTTAGCATTTTATTACCCAAAAGAGGTTAACATTTACTATGAACCTGAGAGTTTTCTTTGCTGTTCTTTTTCCAGGGCACTTAGGAAAATATGAACTAAAGGAAATCACAATCTTATTCCTAGGTGACCAACTTTCTGCAGTGTTTTTCTCCATCGTGAGGCGCGCCTACTGGTCCCCACCTTTTGTTTTCTGCCTGCTCATACAGACATGAGACTGATGAACATTCTGACCATATTTACCTCCATGCCCTTCAACCTCAAGTAAAAATCATTTGGCTTGAGTAATGTAGCTATGTTTGGTTTATCAAGAATGAGTTCCAACCAATTTGGTGACTTAAATATACATATATAATTTTTTGATTGTATCTAAAATATCGTGTGTACTTACCTTTGGATTTACTGTTTAGGAATGAGAATTTAGTTTAGGAATAGAATTTGCACATGGTCTTTGTTAGTAAAGACCAATACAAATTATTCACTCTTTTCTCTTTCAGTCTTTTTCATTGACTACCATTCCTTTTATCTATGACCATTTTTCCTTGATTTTTAAAAAGCATTCACTTATTTTATGTATTAGAAAAAATAATCTTAGAATTATTTGGAAGTTCCCAAATTATATCTGAGCTTCTGCTCTACTTAGCAAGTGTACCTGCTCTCTTATCCAGAACAGTGGTACTGGTTTTTTAAAAGTGCCTTTTCTCTATAATGGCCTTTTTTTTTTTTTACTTTCTCAGTAAACCTTTTGGGTTTGTTTTTTTTAATCAAGCACATAATCATTTTTGGTCCTATCACATATTATGTTGAGAGTTTCTAATGAGATGATCTTCAGTCCCTATGATTTTCATGTATTATTGAGTATAATTATTTCATTCAGTATTTTCTGTGCTACTTTCATTTTATTCTACTATTACATCATAAAAGGTAGATTTCTCTGGATTTTCTTCCTGTACCAGAGCACTGACTGTATCATACTCTGATTGTTTTACTTACTAGCATAGAAGACTTTTTAGAAGACACATTTCCAATCTTTAGGTCAATTACTTATTACACCATCTTGACCTTTATATTGTTAAACGAATGTTAAGTTGTAAGTAAAATGCATATTTGTTCATTCAGTCATAGTAGAAGCATAGACTTTATCAAGTCAAAGTAAAATGCATATTCATTTATCAAGTCATAGCATTATAATTATAATTATAATTCTGAGCTATATTTTCATAAAACAAGGTTGGCATTCCCAACAATTCACATGAATAATACCAGAGGATTTTAATCCTCACTTCAAAACAAAATATTTTTCCAACAGATTATCAGTCCATATACTCGCTGTCTACTCACTAGCTAATAACATCTCTAACACGTACCTTTTATTTAAAAGAGCAATTTGTCTTGCCTAAGTCATAGAAATAAATCATTAAGAATTTTATACATTGTCTAAGTTAGAGATTTAGCAGTGCCTCAAACCAAAGAATTGTTGTAACAAGTCATATTTAACTAAACAAAACTAAACATTGCTTAAAACTTAAAAAAATAAAATAAAATAAACATTGCTACATACCTGGCAAATGGCAAATCCAAAACCATTTGCGGAGATATTAACTTCAGTCGGCTCTCCCACAGGAAGCTGGATAAAGGTAGAAAAATAAAGTGAATTCGGCTAGTTTTCCAATATCTAGGTCCTTCCACGTAGCACAAGAGATCAGTGTGATCCCTCCTTAGGAGTGTGAGCAGTCAGGGGAAAGCTCTAAGAATTTCACACGGCCCCCAGTCAAAAGCTATGGGTCACCCACGTGAGAGGCGAAGGCAGGGAGGTGCGCTCTCCGCGTGCCCTCCCCTCTGGCCTAGGACAGCACGTCGCGCTGTGGCCAGGCTGCCTTTCTGCAGGGGATGACACACGGGAGACAAGAAACACATCCTCTCTCTCCGCTGCCTCCCCTAGCCGGTGCCTAACCCTCCGGCCTCGCTGAGAACACGGGGCCCAGCATCATTGCCTATGACTAAGTTCATGCCTTCGTTTTCTTCGCTATAATCCCTCTTCCTCAGTTTCCAGCCTTGAAATTCCCACTTTCATCATTACCCTCAAGTTCCCACAAGGTGACCCAGGAGAATCGAGTTACAGTCTAGCACAGGCCTTTATTCCATTTCAAAGTAAGACTTCTACTACTAGTTTCATCAGTTCTCCAACGAGGACGCGTGGTGCAGCTGAAAAAGACGTGGCCTTTGAAAGCCATGGGATCAAATCATAGCTCTACTGTTATTAGGACCATGATCTTGAGGAAGTCTGTAACCTCCCTCAGCCTCAGTTTTATCAAGTGTACAATAGGGATGAAAGTACTTATTTCTTAGAGTTCGTTTGAGAAGTAAATGCAATAGCACATGTAAAGAAATTGAGCACAGTGCCTGCAAAGAATGGTAACTCAACGGGTGTTCGCTCTTGTCCCAACATGTCAGTGCCCATGTTTTCTCCTTTACCGAAGTTCCCACCCCCTCTTCCCTTCCCCGGCTCAGCAAATTCAACCAAAGGAGCGTACTCCTTCCTTCCAGGCCCTCTACAAGGCCCTGGGAACAAGTCTTTGTGGAAGTCAATAAAACAGAAATAAAGTAGTTTTCCAGCCTAAGGAGTCATCTACAGAGAATTTTAAATAACCACCCCTTGTCCACACCTCTGCCGTCTGGAGGACAAAGCGGTTGTGTGCGTCAATCCGAAATTTTACAGGACTCGGTGCACCGGACCCTGTCACAGTCACTTGGATATTTGTCCTGTCTGTGTTCATCAGGGCTGCAAATTCAGATAGGGCCTTCAAGGCCACAATGGTGTCCTGTTGAGGAAAGGAAAACATTAGTGCGTGTGGGTGCATATCGAGGTCTCCAGAGGAAACGCAGTACTGTTCAGGGCACCCGTGTGCATCCGCCCACCTTCCCTGAGAGTGCAGTCTCCCTTACTCACCTTGAATCTCCCTGAGAGGCTCTGGATGGAACTGACCATCTACAATATCAGTTACCGCAGAGAGAAAAATGGCTAATACAGATGGGGAGCTAATTTATTCTATATAAATATCCAATATGATGTTTATATCCATGATGAGAAAACATTAAAATGAGTAGCTTAAGCCTCTGACTTAAACTACTCAACTTCTGGAATGCTGAGTAATTTTACGAATTCACGAAAAAAGGCAACCACATACTTCTTAAAACGATGGATGGATGGATGGATAATAAATTTAAAACTATCCTCACTCACCTGGGTAGATGCAAAACCTCCCAAGCTGTTTCTTTGCCTGCTCAGCCACCTCATAATTGGGATTCCCTCTGAGATCTGCTGCTGCAGGAAGTGTGAGAGCAGCACATAGGCTGCAACCTCGATATCCAGGGAGCTGGGCTGCCAGGATTCAGAAAGTCCGGACACTGACGACACCCAGAACTGCATGCCTTCTGCAAGAGAAAAGTAATGCCAGAATGGCCAGCTACAGAAAAACTACATTTTATGCCATTAAATATCCTTACACTGGTCCAAATTCTACTTCACTAACATGAAATTATATATATATTTCTATGTATGTGTCTATTTATGCCAAGCAAACGTGTGTGTTTAAACGCGAGTGCACGCACGCACACAAGCATGTGCTTATATGTCACTTTTTAAACTATTAAAACAAATGTTCGTCATTTTCCTATTGTTTATGTGTGAGGATGTTTTGATGAAAATATTTTCCCAAGAGAAATTCCATATGTTTGGCTCTAGACTAAGCAGCTATAAATAAAAGAAAAAAACATATTATATTCCAGAAAATAATATACATAACTTTTCTGAACAGGCCATCCCAAAAATATTTTAGAATATTTTAGAATCTGGGAATCTGCCATTAAGCAGCTCTAACATTCTGGGAAATCTCTCCTTTTTCATTATCTGAAAGTTAGCGTTATATGTTCGAAATCCAAGCCCCCAAGAAAAAAATAAGGAACCCTGGCCAACTCAACAATCTTCCTAGAGATATTCTTACTAGCCCCCAGAGTAACATCCTTTTTGGTGCCTTCCCCCTCAAATATTACTATTTACATAGTAATGTAACGAAGATTACACTTGGGCGGAATGTGTAATAACTACCATCTAGCCAAGTAGAGAAGAAGGAATGTCAAGGACTGCTTCAGCCTCTATGCCATAACCTTCTAGTCCCCAGCACAACAGGTAATAAGGAGTCAATCTAAGTTACTACTACTAATAATAATACTTTCTTACAGTCTCAGAAGTCTCGAAGTACCTTTTACAGTTATCCCTTCTTGAATTAACAGAGCTTTGAATCAGTGGCCTATTTCAGCCCACTCATCCCCATATCTGTCTATCATCTATCTATCTATCTATCTATCTATCTATCTATCTATCTATCTATCTATCATCTATCTATCATCTATCCATCTATCATCTATCTATCATCTATCTATCTATCTATCATCTATCTATCTATCATCTATCTATCATTTATCTATCTATCTATCTATCTATCTATCTATCATCTATCTACCTACCTACCTACCTACCTACACATTCACAAGCATGTGCACACACAGACATACACTGAATCCCTGACTATAGAGGCCACTTGGGAAGTGACAACATCTGTACATTTTGTCCTGCTGTAGCCCCTAAGCAGTCTCCATTCAAAAAAATACATATCATACCCATAATTCACTAACAGCATTTTTTTTTGGCATTTGCATTTCTATTAATTAGCATTTTAGTCCCATATTTAAACATTTGGCAGGCACTGTGCATGATCTCATTTAATCCTCACAGCAACCCTAAAACTGATGTTACTCCGATTTTACAGTGCAGGAAACTGCGGCGCCTAAAGGGAAGGAGCAGAGTCAGAATTTGAATCCAAGTCTCTCACAAGCCAAGGTCTTAAGGCCACCAAACCAGAAATGGAATCAGAGAACTCAAAGGGTAACTGGCATCTGGCAGAATATATCTAAAAGAAGAAAATACCCACACCCTGAAATTCTCTGGAAAACTCTTGGGGAGAGTAGAAGCAGCATGGCCACATCATACCCATCTGATCCCCCTGTGATCCCATTTAGAAGATGTAAATGTAATCAGCTTCATCTCTTGCTTACAAAACTTTTCCACATAATCTATATATGTCATCACACACAGCAGTCCAGCCACCTCCAGCGGGACCCACGCGTTACCTTCTCGTTCTGCTCTCCGCGTCAGCGTATCCAAAGCTTCCCTGGCTTTAGGGCTCCTCACGTAGGACAGTGCGTAAGTTGTAAGAGCTAGAGTATAATTGTCCGAGATTCCTCTACTGAATTCAGACTCCAAAAACTTGATAGAGTCTTGCACATCGAGATTAGGCTTGAAAGAAAAAATACATATTTTACCACTCAAAAGAACCCAAAAAGTATTTTCAAGCATTTATTCAAAAAATAATTGCAGCATCTATTAAGCACCTTTGTCCTAGGCAGTGGGAATCAACAACAATCATTGACATTTATAGATTTGCCATGGTTTTAAAAATAACACCGCTTTTCGGTTTTTATAAGTAAATAGGTGCCATGCCTTACAGGGAATAAAAAGTAGAACTTTTGCCAGTGTTCCTCCCATTGAATATCACAAACTCAGAGAAAAGCATAAAATATAGCTTAAGAAAGATATTTCTCATATTTGATCTCAGGTGTTGAAGCTCTAAATTCAGGGGAAAGCCACCCAGCCAGTGTGGCTCAGTGGCTGAGCGTCAACCCATGCACCAAGAGGTTGTAGGTTCAATTCCCGGTCAGGGCACATGCCCAGGTTACAGGCTTGATCCCCAGTAGGGGTGGTGTAAGAGGCAGCCGATCTCCCTTTCCCTCCCTCTCTCTCTGAAAATCAATAAAAACATATTTTTTTTTTTTTTTAAAAGAAAACATTTAAATTCAGGGGAAAGTTTATCTTCTACATGCCTAGTACTGGGCTAGGAAACTGGTAGGAGCTTACTATAGAGAATGGCTGGTTTTGATCATGTGAAATGCAATCAGCATTAAGCAGTAAAGGCATCAATCATTGAGACAGCTTTGGAGCAAAATTAAGCTCATTAGCATAACTTTCCATGTACACTCTCATCCAGACATCCATGCCCATTTAACACACTTTCTAGAGTGTGGGTGTACTTTGTACTAAATGAGCAGACACTGTAATTGCTCCATGATATTTTAGAAATAAAAAAATCCTTCACAACCTGAATTTGATAAAATGCACTCCCAAATTCTGAAGAATTGTCTGTCCCCTAAGAAATTAAACTTTCCAATGAAAAATAGGTATTGACTTACCTTACCAAAAGCAAGTATAACATTTATATTGGAAAGCATTTTTAGAATTATCTCAGTTACTCTGAGAAAGTGGGTCAATATTTTTATTTTCAGATTTTGGAATGTGGCCACAAATGCAAAGCAAAAGGGTGCCCAAATTCAGACTTCGAATGTGATGTGAAATTACAAAACTCTTTAAGTTTCCAGACACTTTTTGGACCCCTCAAGACCTACCTTTCTTGTGATTTCCCACCCATCATTTATGAAGTCAAAGATGAAATACCTGATACTTTTTATATCTCAGGAGAGAAGTCACAATATAAGCTGTAAGCGTTACTGGACTTTTATTGCCACCTTGAAGTTCACTATGGATCACTCTTCCTGGCTCCCAAAATTCACCATTGGATTTCTGGTGTCCTTTGAGCCATGTATATGTTCTGTGCAGCACATTCTGATCAATATCTATGTAAGGCTCAGCTTCAAGGAAACATCTTAAAACAAAGGCTGACAACCTTGGTAAAAGGGAGGGGAGGGGAATTAGATAAAGTACAATTAATAAAGTCCTCCAAATAACACTGAGCAACAAAAACACCAATAACAACACACACACACACACACACACACACACACCACCATTAGAAGAGTCACCAAAGGGAGAATCGCTGAAGAAAAACAAAATGAAGAAAACAACAGGTAACACAAACAACTCCACCAAGCTGGTGGACCCGGTTTCCCCTTGAGTGTGGCCAAGAAATTGCAGGTCAACTCACAGAACATCATAATTAGAAAGGAATTTAGAAATCGTCTAATACAGCCTCATTACTTTACAGATTGAGAATCTGACACTCCAAAAGAGTTAAACTGTCCAAGACTATTCACCTTTGGACCACTTTAGGTATTTTCCAAGGATGAACTCCTTAGGTACTTCACTCAGACCTAAAGTTGTGGATAAGGTATAGTTCACAAACTGTCATACTTTTAAATATAGGAAATGGGTGTTTTCTTTCCTATAGGATGGGAGTCAGCAAATTATAGCCTGTGGGCCAATCTGTTGGGCCAGATCTGGTCCTTGGGCCAAATACAGCCCAGAGTCTGTTTTTTGTATCTCTCCCCCCTCTACCCTCCATCTAAAAATGTTTTTTAAAGGGAGAGAGAAAGAGAGGGGTGAGAGGAGAGGGAAGAATATGCAACAGAGACACCATGTGGCCTATAATGCCTAACATATTTATTATCTGAACCTTTACAGAAAAAATTGGCTACAGAACACTAAGTATTGAGGTGAAAGGAATGTCAAGCAATAAAACACTGAAACCTTTCTATTTATGGATCTAGATCCTGACTCGTGCCAAAAGAAAATCGGAACCAGATCTGTTTCATCCTATAAAAGACTTAGTGTGGTAAATATTACTAATATTCAATAATATCCAGTTCTCTTTTACTTTGAGGATGCAGAGGAATTCACTTCCTCGCCTCCCTGAAGTTAAGCATGACCATGTGACCAGCTCTGATACTGATAAAGTGAAAACAAATGTTATAGCCCGGCTGAAGCATCCAATTGCCAGGGCTGCAGGCTAAAGCCTGGAGCTTCCTAGTGACAGGGTGAGAGGAGGGCAGCTGAAGCACAGGCTGCAGTGCCCCCTGCTGGCCCACATGGAAATGCAGCATGTGTAAGAGAATAAAAACCTCTGTTGCAAACCAGCCACTGAGATTTAAGGGGTTGTTACCACAGCACTCCCTGTCCAACCTGACTGATACAGTCAGTCTTTTTCTGAGTGAAATACAGAATTAAAGACAGTAAGGAGAAGGCAAGGAGAGAGAGAAATCATCCAAAATCAGCCATGCAGAGATTCCATTCGGGAGGAAACTCTAGATATTCATTTCTTAATTCCATCACTGTTTTGCACACACACAGAAATAACCTTAAAAAAACTACACTGACTACACTGACCGACTGAACACAAAATTCGTGTTGATCATGTCAATTAAAGAAAAAACTCTCACAATCACCTGGTGTTTCTAACTTATTTTTCTTGCCAGTCCTACCTTCATCATGCGGTATTTTTATTTCTGCTTTTTCCACCAAAAGAGGATTTATGACCTATCTTTTCTAAACAAAAATACTCGCTTTATTCGTGTTTTAAAATCATATTTTAAAAGGGTAATCTCCTTTAAAGTCAGGCTATGGGACAAGCAGCCTCAGAACCTATCAATTTTACGGCCACCGTGACCTAGTGAGGGCCCTTTCCGTGACAAGGATTTGTTCTGTTAGCAAGAACACTTACCAAGTGCTTCCAGAAGGGTCATCATTCCCAAAAGCACTGAAAGAGCCATCGTCCCTTTGATACAGAAGTTCTCTCTGGTAACCTGAAGACACCAAAACAGATAATGCGATCAACGTGCCATGAATGGGAGTTTCTAATCATGCCTTCATATTGAGGAAACATGGGCAAGGAATGGGAAATAAGATGACATCAAATCAACAACTAGCATCAAATGCTTTCCATGTTAAGTTAGGTGGGAAACAGAAAACACCAGGATTTTTCGAGTAGAATGCATAAAATAACAACTGTGATATCCCCCAACTAAAGTAAATTCAGAAGAAAACTATAACACAGACAATGATTCTAGCCATTCAAAAGCAAGCACATTAAAGGTAGAGTTTTATTTAACTCTATAGTTTTCACTCCAGTGGTTTCAATGCTTAGTCACCTAAAATTGCTTGCTACCTAAGACAAAATCTAGAATTTCATACTTAAAGTTTAAGGCTAAAACAGAAATTAAAAACGCTTTCTACTTTTAGGTCAGCAATGAAGGGGTTTAGAGAAAGGGGAGATTGTTCAATAATCAAAGACAATGCCTCTAAAACTTTTTGGCCATGGCCAACTGAGGCAAACCAATGATCAACTGGTCTGCCTACCATGTCAATTCTAAGTTCTCACTTAAAAAAAAAAAAACTTGATGGAGACAAAGTGTCACTATATAGGTAAATTGGGGAGGAGGTTAAGGTTCATGTGTCTGCTTTAGTAAAAAGAGATGTTTCATATTGCCAAATAAATGATTATAAGTAAGAGACAGATGTTTCATAGCTGCAAAGCAATGCTTGCAGGTCTCAAAGTCCAGTGACTTAGAAATCATAGGCCAAACACTAAAGATTCACCAAACAACCTACCACAGACTAACTTGCTAAAAATAAAATTTAAAAGCAATAATTTATCATTAAAAATAAAGCATGAGCAAGAGCCAAAAACATTTCGAACTCCAGGCATTATCAATGATTCTCTGATAACCAAGAATTCTTCCTGAAAATTCCCGGATTCTGCCACAGGCATGCAAGGGCACACACTGAGCCTTGCAGTGTGGCCACACAGAGCCCAGCAACCATGAACATTCATAATATGCTGAATTTAATCCTTAGTAAATTCTACTAATAAAAATTTTTACTTTATGAATACCACATTTTAGAAGCATCAATAATTATAATTATTCATATCTGATTAACAAAATATGAAGATTCACATTTTTAAATTACAGTTAATCTGCTCTTACTGTGCCCCAAACTTTTCTCCATTAATCTTTCCCCAAGAAACCCCAGATCTGAGAAGCTGATTTAAGCTAGAGTAAGACAAAACATTCAGAAAACAAGACACTGTTTCATGGTGATCCTTAAGACCTACGATAAAAGAAACATAAAAACATTTAAATGACAGAATTTTGCTTAATTTGAAGAAGAAGGTGTTAGGGTATAATCTTCATGTTTGAAACTAAAATATTATGGCAGAGTAATTAAATAGCCAACCTTTATCCCACACTATGTGTCAGGAACTGCTCAAAGCCCTTTCAGGACCCAGGTAATTCTCAACACAGCCCTTTCTAAAGATGATAAAACTGGAACTTAAATACACCATACGCAAGGCCACACAGCTGGTAGGTATTGAAACTAGGCCTTAGCCAAGTCTCTTTGTCTGCAAAACTGCTGTTTCCTATTAATTCAGAGACCTCTTTCAATGAATTATGTATGAAAAGTCCTTAGCACAGCACCTTCTCCACAGCAAGCTCTCAATAAGCAATAGGTATTGTTTCATAGCATGGACAAAAGGAAAGGCTTTCCAACTGCTCAATTCTATTTTAAAGTTGATCAATTTGACTATAAAAAAAATTGCTTTAAACTGTTTATGGAAAAACACACTATTAGCAAAGTTAAAAGATAGATGATAAATTAGAAGAAAATATTTGCAACATATAAGAGAAACAAATGGCTAATATTAATATATAAATTTTATGTATATGTTTATATAGTATTACAATATGTTTATTCATATATATAAAAAACACTTTTAAATTTAGAGAAAAAAATTAAAATCCTATAGGGAAAAAAGAAGAGTAAAAGAACAGACATTTTATAAAAAAACAAAGAAAGATAGATCTTAATACATGAAAAATGTTCATCTTCATAGTGGATAAAATGCAAATTAAAGCTACACTGAGATAACATTTCACATCCATCATATTAGCAAAGATTCAAAAGCTTGATCATTCATTCTATCATTCTATTCTATTCATTCATTCTACCAGGGAGGCTGTAAGGAGACCAGCACTCATCATTGCTGAGAGAAATTCAGGATGGTACAACTCCTGCGTAGGAAAATGTCTATGTCCTGTGACCCAATAATCCCACTTCTAAGAATCTATCCTGAAGATACACCTCCAACCATACAAACATATACATGCAAAGATTATTCATTGAAGCATTATTTGTAATTGCAAATATATTGGAAATGACCTAAATGCCCCCAAATTAGACATTGGTTGAATAAACTGTAGTACATACACACAATGCAGTACTATGCAGCTGTGAGAAAAAATTGAGAACTATTTCTCTGAACTGGTGTGTAGTATTTGTTGAATATATTATTAAGTGAAAAAGGCAAAGTCTAAAATAGCATACATAGTATACTACCTTTTATGTAAGAAACAAGAAAACGTGTAGATGTTCATCTCTGCAGAGAGAGAAACTAGAAACGAAGGAAGTGTTACCTACAAGGGGTAGGGAGAAGGCATACAAAGGGCACCCTCTGCACATACCTTTTAGAATACGTATGACTTCTGGAAGGTTATTAATGTTCTACATATTCAAGAAATCAAGTAAGAATGAAAAAAGTTAAATGATAGGCATTATTTTCATATAACCTTGGGGGAAAAAACAAAATAAAATCTCTTCCTTTTTCAGAGCCAATCAGAGATCACAGAGACGCAAAATAATTATCTTAATATTCACAAAGGAAATTAGCAAAAGAGTCCAAGACATTCTCCCTTGATTTCCGATTCAGGACTACATCTACCAGAAGAGTTTAACTGTGAACTCAGTGTGACAGAGCAGAGGAGAGCAGAGGGGAGCAGAGGGGAGAGGAGAGGAGAGAGTAGAGGAAAAGAAGAGACGAAGAAAGAAACAAGGAAAGGTTCAGGGCCCTCCCTCACTACAGGAGGTGCTTCTGTGAAAGGAAGGATCAATGTAGAGAAGACCATGTGCCTCCAAGCCCCAAAATCACATCAACAACTACAGTTCCAAGTATGAGTTATTGTAAAACCGGTCAGAGAGATGAGCTCATGGAGATGAGATCAGTGCTTATGGAAATTACCCCTCAGGTGGCTGACCTCCAACAGTCCCCATTAATATCAACAACTAGCACCATTCTTCCACCAGGGGCAGCCAGCCTGGAGGAGGGGGAGGACTTGCCGACAATCTCCCACTGGGGATTGCATTTCTTGAGCTGGTTTAGATAAAACTGAGAACCTAAACCACCAGCTCTGCTCCCATGGCAAAATAAAGGAGAGAGTCAGAACCTAAAGGGAGGAGCTTACATGGCTCTCCTGGTGGGAGTCCCCGTGAGGCTCCCTTGCCCGTCCTAAAGCAGCTGTGCACCCTTGGAGAACCCTCGGCTGCTGCAAGTCATCCACCATGTAAGCAGAAAGGACACTGTTGGCTCAGCTGTTATGTTTATCGTTAATACAACAATTCAATGCTCCGGTGTAGTCACCTGAGTTGGAGACTTTTCATCATGACAGTTGAGAAAGGCAAAAACAATGGTGTTCTCCAAAAGTTTATGAGGAAATAAGAGTATAGCCTTTAAGTTCATAGTTTTATGAATAGCTCTTGAGTTAGAAAGTAAATAATACTGTATAATCAGAATTAACAGATACTCTGACAATTAAAATACAGAAGTCCAGAAGTCCCCATGTACTGTCATTTATAAAGGGCCAGAAAAGATACATACTTACTGAGCCATGACCTTTCTTTGAAATAGCCACACGTGTAAAATATTTATAATTTATCATAATAAATATGAAAATACTATTCATAGAAACACACAGAAAAGTAACTTTGATGTGGTTTACCTCAAGTGTCAAAACTGCATACAAATAAAAGGAGTAGAATCAGTTCCCTTGACTATATCAATCACTTTCTCTGTGTTTGTTTTTTTTTAAAAAAAAGCTGATAAAAATATCCTCTGTACTAAAAAGATAAGTAATCATTTTCAACTTCCGTCCTCTCTATGACACGAAATGGAAGGTGAGACTTGCCCAGGTTTTTGGGTAATACCTTCACGGTTGCCTCAAGCCATTCTCATGATGACCAAATGCAGCATCAGACTTCTGAAACCTACTTTTTCCCTGTTTTTTATTTCAACACAGAAAATATAATGTGTTTTCAACTAAACTTGGTCTGCATCTCAGTTGAAAAACTGAGCTGCAGGCACGATGATTTAAATATTTGAGGAAAACAAGTGTCTTAAATCTCTAATTAAAAGATTCAGGTCCTTATCAAAAGCAGCTTTCATTTTACGGTTCTATTTTTCTTTTGACAGCAAAAGACACTTCATTCAATGATGTAGCTGTTGTTTTGACTAAAAAACAATGGGTCAGGTTACCGGGCTCCTGGGCCAAGCATGATTTAAGTAAAACAATGCGCTGTTCATAAATGACATTTCAATAATATAACCCTGACTCATGCCAAAGCCACTTTAATTTCTTAAAAAATAAAAACAACGACAGTATATTTAAAGGCCTTTGACAGATGTGATGGCAAAAGAAAAAACAGAGTTCCTGAAATGAGACGCTGATTTCATAATGAAAAGCATTATACCGAGAGGTTTCTGTCGACCACTTTGAAATATGACTCAGTCCAGCGTGTGAAAGGATGCATGCAGGGACGCCCCACTGCACCGACTGCCATCAGCCACGCCACCAGCTCAAGAGGTGAGACACTGAAGCCGCTGGTCGCGTTTGCCAGCTAATAGGAAGCCACCAGGGCCAAGTAGAACCTTCAGTGTTTACAAATGATTACTGCAGTGTGGAAGCCCTTGAGAGATCTTCTAGGTGCAACCTCCATATTAGGCTGGTGAATGTAAGGCTCCAAGAAGTTAATATGAATAGTAATGCATTCGTCCATTCTGTAGTTACTGACGTGCCAATACAGAGACACAACGGAGAAGATGTTGAACATGGTCCCCACTGTCAGGGAGCTTACCTTCCAGTGCAGGACACAGATTATAAAAAAAAAATTTGGTAAAAAGATAATTTTCAGTAATGTTAAGTGTGATGAATAAAATAAAATGGAATAATATAAACGAGAGTTACTAAATGGTCAGGAGAGGCCACTCTGAGGAAAACACCACCTGAAGGAAGAGAAGGAGCCGGCCAGGGAAAGATCTGGGGAAGAGCCTCCCAGGAGAAAGGCGAACAAGCTTCAAGGCCCTGACGCTCCAGGCGCAGCCAGGTGGGCGGCCAGCCGGGGGCCGCACCAGGCGCGCAGCAGGCGGAGGCCAGGCCAGTTCACTCCGGGCCTTTAGGATGGGCCGGGAACCCATGGAGAATTTGAAGCAAGGAGGTGACATGATTTTGATATTTATCAAAAGATCCCTTTTCTAATGTGTGGAGACCGAGCACAGAAGCAGAGTCTGTTTAGACAGCCCGTGGAGGACTCAGGTGAGCCACAGTGGCGTGTGAAGGGAACAATTAGACACGGGATGGAGAAAGGGGACAAATCTCCCATTTGTTTCTAGAGGTAAAATGGACAGGATTTACTTGCTTACTTTAGACCTTCACTCCCTAGTTAGATGCAACTGACTAGTGCTAAAAATCTCCTGTAATCTTCACAACAGTCCAGTTCCCATATACTATCCTCTTGAAATCAGCGAAATTAAATTTTGAATACCAGTTGGAATCTTTTTTTCACAAGGCGCAGAGTTAAATTGTGACCATTTCAAGTATTTTTTACTCATCTCCTTAAATATAACCATTACGGCAACGTGCAAAGATCTCACTTGTCTTGAGCATGGCACACACCGTTACACCACAGCGAGCACTGGAGTTCAAATCCCAGCTCTGCCACTCGCTTGCTATAGGGCCCTGGGCAAGTTAGTTAACTTTTCTGTGCCTCAGTTTCCACGTCTGTAAAAACAGGAGGAGGATACTCATTGTGAGCATTAGATGAGATATTGGTTGTAAAGTGTTTAGAACACTGCCTGCCACACAGTAAGCACTCGACTAATGTTAACCATTGCTATTAGCAAGTCGCAGGCACAAAGTATCTGGGGTCTACAAACAGTATAAGCCTCCCAAAGAGCCAGGATAGCATCACCACCAGCGTGGCATTTTCTGAGGATCAAGCAGGGCCCGCCAGACAAACATTTCTCTCCTAACCATCTGCTGGACATTTTACCTGCACCAAGGAGATCCCCACATGGGACACCACATGTGTGTACGTACAGACTGTCTTCACCAAGCAAGGAATTCCATGAGAGGAAAGGCCCTGGCTTCCTATCTCCGCAGCAAAACAAGGGACCCTGGCACTCAGTGTTTAATGAATAAATGAACACTCATTCCTTTAGGTTTGTAAGTAGCTTTAAAATTCAGGTCCCTTGTTAAAATACAAACCCCTCTAGAAACAAACCTCCCTTAACAAAGCCCTTAGCAACAATTAGTAAACAACGAGCTGAAGAAGGAACGGTGACAGCTTCCCATCACTTAGCACATTTCAGCACCATCTAGTCCCACGATCACAAAGCAAACACAAATCTGTCTGTTCTGAAAAACGGTCTGGAGTGAATTCTGCCTTAAAAAAAAAGGTACAAACAAAAGTGTTTCTAAAATGCTTACCTTGTCTCATGAATGAAAGGGCTTTTTCTTTTAAATTTTCTGTCAGTTGTTTCTTTTTAGTCAGATAATCCAAAACATAGATATTTGGAGCAAAATTTATCATGTTCTGTTCACCACAGCCATAAGGCATCCGAATCAATGAGGCTAAGCCATTGATGGAAGAGCCAAGAATATCTCCTAAAAACAAAGATTTTAACACATTCAGCAAATACTTAATACCTGTACCTGCTGGTGGCGAAGAGACTTCCACTGGGCACAGAAGGCATCCAGGGCTCAGAGCAGATAGAGCTTTACATCAAGTTTGTAGGATGACTGCCCAAAGAAATAATACAGTGATACTGAACTTGTAGGTTACATGATAAATTAGGATACTTTTAGCTCAGCTAAACATAGAGGCATACACTAGGCAAAAAATAAGTTTAAAAAATTCTTGAACAAAAATGTCAGGAATTAACCATTAGCAAACCATCATTCTTATATAGGAAAGAAATGTTTTTTATGAGTGTTCTTCACATAAATAGAACTTCATTCTGATTTTTGACTAATACACTACAAATATTTGAGAAATAATTTTTTAAAGGATAGGAATTGAAATATTTTTCAATGTGCTTTATTTAGCAACAACAAAGTGGAACTAACAAATATAAGCATTTTGATGACTTTCAGGATCAAAAAGGTTAGAATTATTCTTCAAAGTTAGTAATATAAACTTAAACAAAGCATGCTTAAAAGACTTCTCTACCCACATTCTAACACCATGGCTCAGGAAAATAAGTAAAAATTCAGAATTATAGAAGTTGAGTTCTAATTCCGATCCCACTGTGGTTGAGCTATATGGCGAAGAATATTCTTCTGCGTGGTTTAAAAACTTATACCATTCCAAGTCCAAATACCTAGTGAAAAATCTACTCCTTAAAAAAATAAAAATGAGCCGTGGCCAGGCTGGCTTTGTGGTTGGAGCACCAGCCCATACACCCAAGGGTCACGACAGGTTCAATTCCCAGTCAAGGGCACGTACCTGGGTTGCAGGTTCAATCCCTGGCCATGGTCAGGGCCCGTGCAGGAGGCAACCAATTGATGTATCTCACATTGATGTTTCTCTCTCTCTCTCTCTCTCTCTCTAAAAAAAGAAAGCAATGGAAAAAAGATCCTCAGGTGAGGATTAACAAAACAAAACAGAAAATAAATCCAAACAGAAAGGAAGAACTCTTTCATGTGAATAGGCTGCAGCCACGCTACCATATGTCAAACTTTAGATGTTAACACAAAGATATAAATAAAGGTTATATTATTACCATCGCAGGTTCTGTTTCTACTACTCAGCATGAACATAAACTTAGATTCTCAAAATTCAAAGAAGTAAGCTAATAGTCACACATCTGGGCTACCAAATAGCCCTTTGTAAATAAATACCAAATAAAAATAAAACTTGAAAGATCATTCTTTATCTCAAATTTCAAAAGTAAACCTCAGAGTACATCAGTGACCCTCGGTAGACTCATTCCAACATGGTGGTGTACATTTAAATCCAAAGCTTCTTCCCTTTGTGTGCACATGTGGACCGAATCCTCCCACCATCCCAACACTCTGAGAGATGCCCAGGCAGAATTTATTCCCCTAAATAAAAAGCTTATTTAATTCTTTTTAAAGAGTCATATCTAAGGCTCCAAAGAAAGTCTTCTGTAGAGGAATTGGTTATTTGGGGTTATAATAAAAAGCATGTCACCTGTAGATGAGATGTAAACAAACCTCTGAGGAAGTGCCCAAGGTCCCAACACCTTGAAAACCAAACTATGTAGATATCATTAATCTAAACATTTCCTTCAATTTTTTATAAAGCACAACTATATAAACAAACGGTTTGTGTGGAAGATCTGTTTAATAGCTGATTCAAAAGTACTTTTAGGGCACCAGAAGCAAACTAGGAGAGGGTGCCTCAAGTTAGTGGGTAGCTCCCTCCTGTAAAGGTGGCTTGTGTCCTGCACAGACAACTGCCCTAAGCAGCTTCTGATCATCAGCCTTTGGTAATCAGAAGCACTTTTGGAACCTTTTCAAAATATATATACCCTAGCCTTAGCCCAAGAGATTCTGACTGAGGAGGTTGGGAGTACAGCCCAGATATTTCTGTTTTTACAAAGTGCCATAGAAGATTCCGATATTTACTAGGACTTGAGAGCCACAGAAGCCAGAGGTTCTGTTCTTAGAAATAACCTCCCCTGCAGCCACATTAAAGTGGGGTCTTACTATTCAAAAAGTGGTCTGCACAGCAGAAGCATCAGCATCAGCTGGGAGCTTGTCAGAAATGCAGACTCCCAGCCCCAGCCCAGGCCTACTAAACCAGAATCTGCCTTTAAACAAGACCCCTGGTGATTCATATGCACACTGAACACTGAGAAGCGGTCTAGGATACGTATCTTTCTAGCCTTTCTATTTGGTACCAACTAAAAACTCTATGCAGCCTCTTCTCATTATGACTAACTAAGAAAATATGGTACATCTACAAGCAGATGAAACTATATATTATCATGTACAAATAAACCAGTAAGTAGTGACGGTGATAAACTCTATCCTTACCAATTGCGGTGATCTGAACTCTTTCACTGCCACTCACTGTATTAGGAGGAAAGGAGAAACTCAAAGTTTTCTGCATAGTTTGTAGCCTGTTGTCAGTCAAGTCCAACAAGACGGATTGTGAATATAATTTTTCTATCCCTTCAGCCTGTTAAAATAAAGAAAACATCATTAATGTGGTCTCTACTCACCAGTTTACCGAGAACTGTATGGAGATCATCAGACAAACATCCGGCCTGTTGGGTCTGCAGTGTGCGTGTGGCTGAGTACCCACCATTTTTTGACTCTTGCTTCAAATCTGCTAATACCTGTTTGCTTTCTAATTAAATTAGACAAAATATCTCACGGAATGGCAATGGAAATGATAACAGAGAAAATGAAAAGGTGATGAGAAAAAGTCCCTGAGGTGGGTCCTATTATTATCCAAGAGAGAGATTAAATACCTTAATCAAAGTAACACTTGACACAGCTGAGATTCGAACCCAGGGCTGCCTCACCTCAGAGCACAAGCGCTTATCCACTATGCTGAGTTGTTTTTCTGTGCATAATGTGTTCTCTAAAAAAAAAAAATCTACAAAATCTCTTCTACCCGTGCTGAGGAACTCCAAAATTCAAAATCTACACGTCAACTTAGCATGATTTAATAGGATCCCATTGTAACACAATTTGTAGATGTAACTGACTGCAAAAGAGACTTGCTTTATAGTCATACAATAACTTTATTTACTTACTTATTGATTTATTTTAATCCTCACCAGAGGATTTGTTTTTCATTGATTTTAGAGAAAGAGGGAGGGAAAGGGGGGGAGAGAGAGAGAAACATCTATCAGTTGCCTCCCCTTTACACGCCCTGACCTGGAACCAACCCCTAGACCCTTTGGTGCAAGGGACGATGCTCTAACCAACTGAGCCACACTGGCCAGGGCAGTCATACTATAAATTTAAAAAGGAAATTGACAACTACTTCCAAAGTGCAATATATTTTTTACATATAGATGAGAAAACAGGCATCACCAGAAAGGTAGAGGAGATGACCTACCTACTAGGTCTTGTCAACAAATCTAACCAAGAAAATTCATCTCCTGTTTCCTTTTTCAGTTATGTATTTCCATTTCATTTATTTGAGACTTCAACTATTTACCTTCACTAAAATCCTCTGGGTGACAGCGTCAGAAGCATCAGGTGAAATAGCTGTGACTGTGATAGGAATTTCCCCCAGATGTGTTGGCTTGACTGGAAAAAGAACAGTTGCCCCATCCTCACTGGGGACCAGAATGGTCTGCTGGTGTCCTGTGGCATTGATTTCATTCAAAGTCATTAGAATATCAAATTTGTCACTTTCTTCAATGATCACCTTAACCTGGAAGAAAAAATTATTATCAAAGGTTTTGTATAATAAATGCTCCTCTGTAAAGTGTTAATGTTATCACTACTTTAAGTTCTGTTAATCTGTGAGGCCCAAGACTAGAGAAAGGTAAGACAAACTCAACCAAGAAGATAAAAGCGTATCAGGGAAAGCTTCATTTCGTTCTTATGCTTCCCCAGTCTACTTCAAGATGTGTGTGGAAAGGAAGTCCTTCAGAGCATTAAATCCTCTCATTATCCAAAGCCTCTGAGTGGTAAAGAGGTGCCCAGAAAGGTTATTCGTGTCATGCTAATGCCACCAGCCTGATCTGTCATTCTGGGACACTGGTCTTATTTGAAAAACCTGAGACCAAAGGTTTCTCTCATTGAGAGTCTCTGCTAAAATTATTCCAAGGTGAGTGTGACTCAGACATTAGTCCTGAAGCGTACACTGGAGGTAAACTTCTATAACGTATGCCAAAGTTGCCAGTCTCATCAAGAAGAGCATTTCTCTAGGCCTTATATCTTATGACTTGTGTTCCCACTTATTTCCTCATCTGTTCCTCATAATATTTGCCGTAGAGATAGTAATTATTATTCCCATTTCACAGATGAGAAAACTACAATCAAGTTATTTGCTGGTAAGTGGTACAGCGCTTTTGCTCTTTGCACTGTACCATATTTCTTATTTTAAAATAAGAAACAATTACTCTACGGACATAGTGTTTAAAGAGGTTATGGCATTTTCATGCAGTACTCTAATAAAGTTAATTACATACCCCTACTTACTCTGGGAGAGAGAGGGAATCAATCATTTGGTTAACACTACTAATCCTGCCTTCCAGGGAACTGACTCACTAAGGAGACACAAGGCACATGACTCAAAAAACAAAGCCTTGGAAACAGAGTACACTGTCTAAACATGGGGACAACATAGGAACAGAATGGTGAGGAAAGGCATCTTAGTTTAAGCCAGGCCTTGAATGGAATAAATTCTTGCCAACCACACTGGGCACAGAATGGCAGTGACAAGTGGCAACACATTCTAGATGTGAGTCAGACTAGGAAAAAACTGCAGAAGGCAGAAGAGAAAGACCTGCCACAGTGACCATAGGAAAGTTACCCAGCTAAAGTGGAGAAGCTGTGCTGGACAGGACAGAGGAGAGAGAGAAAGAATTCTCAGATATGCAAATAATGTCCTTAGACATTATTAAGCAGAAGAAATCGCTGCCAAATTATATTTACGCTGATTCCTCCAGAATGTAAACACTATCCAAACCAGTCCCTGCATGTTTTCTCCATGTTTCCCTGCAGTATAAGTGATTAACCTTTAATATATTACCTCAGTGGCATCTTTCAAATAATTGAATATGGTCACTTCCAAAGCAAATTCTTCACCTCTGATCACAGAGTAGGGAAGATTTAAAAAAATGAAAAATGGCTGGAAGGCTCGTAGCTGGAAAAACAGAGTGAATACATATTTTATTCAAATCAAAATGCTTCACATTTTATGCAATTAAAAGTAAATCTTACAAAGCCTATGAAGCTCAACCTCACACAGAAATGTCCACTTGCTATCAGCACACAGCAAGTAGCAACTCAGCACAAATGAACAAGGAAGACTGGCTTGATTTGATATTCAACATATTTTATTAAGGGCCTACTAGGAACCAGTTACTTACGCAAATTACTTCATTTAATCACTACAGCTTTCAGAGGCAGGTGTTATGCTTATATCATACAGAAATGAAATCAGAAGTTCAGAGACCCTGCAACGAGTATAAGGCCACACTGCCAGCAAGTGGAGGAGCCAGAACTGGATCCCAGCGCATCTGATGCCAAAGCCACGCTCCTCTACGATTACGCTATGCTGACTCCACCGATCTGCTTTAAAAGCTGCTAAGCAGCCCCGGCCGGCTTGGCTCAGTGGTTAGAGCGTCAGCCCGCAGACTGAGGGGCCTCCGGTTCAGTTCCAGCCAAGGGAACGGACCTTGGTTGAAGGCTCGATCCCCGGCTCTGGTCAGGGCGTGTGCGGAAGGCAGCCGATCAATGCGTCTCTCTCCCATCGGTGTTCCTCTCTTTCTCTCTCTCCCCCCCTTCCACTCTCTCTGAAAAGCAACAGAAAAAATATCCTCGGGTAAGGATAAATAAATAAATAAATAAATAAATAAATAAATAAATGCTGCGAACCAAATCAAAGAGCCCCTGTTTTGGGCTCATGTGCAAAGTCTAAATGATGTTCTGTTTACTACCTTTAACATACATATGCAGATTCTGTATTTCTTCATTAGTGACTCAACTCTGATCTGTTGGCCAAGTCCTCTGAACTCTCCCCTGTCTCTGTGGATAAACCTTGATTCCTTTAAGCCAATGGTTCCCACCAGCAGCAGGAATTCCCTCTAGAGGTTTATTTGGACATTTGTGGAAGTGTCTTAGGTTGCCACAAGGTTTGAAGGATGCTATTGGCACTTAGCAAGCGAAAGTCTGCAATGCTCAGGAGTCCCAGACAACAAAGAATTGTCCCATATCTCTCATGAGTCTTGAATGTCTCTTCAGAAATCCATGTGGACAAAGTACCTGCTTATAACACCCTGAACTTACAACATCATTTCAATGTATATGTAAACCCAAAGCATTTTTCAATACATACTGAGTTTTTCATGAATACAACTGTTATGTAAATAAAAAGACTGTACTTTTGTTTGTAATGTTACTAAAAGTTGTTCACAGTTGCAGAAATTTACATCACTACTCGAGGTTTTTGCGTTGCTAATACAATACACGTATGTCAACTGCATTTCTGTGCATGGTGTAAATATTTAAATATGTTACTATGTCTTCTAGTGCAGCTACGCTTGGTCATTTATATCCTGAAATATATATTATTTTATTTACTGTCCTTTTATTACTGCCCTTTTATTTACTGTCTTTTTATTTCTGCTGAATATTACACTTGGGGCATCATATTGATTTTTTAATTGAATATGTAGGTATATTATATATTCTATGAATTTCATTTTGATTGGTAAAGGGACAAAACAAAATATCTGTTATCAAAAGGGGCTTCCAGTATGACAGAGGAGAGAGCTCCTGGTCTAAGACCAATGATGGTTATCATGTTCCTCTTGCCAGTGGCTGGTTTAGGAAGTGACATATGATGATGCAACTTGATCAAAGAGATGCAAAGGAATGTCTGCTAGGGGACATCTTGAGAAGATCTGTTTGTCCTTGAAAAAGAGACACACAGAAATACTCTCTGTCTTCTGATCTTTGGAAGTGGTTGGATTTGGTCAATAATAAGCTTTCTATCCAAATCTTAATATGGACCTAGCACATTTAGTAGCTTAATACAGCTCACATTCTAAACTATAAAAGAGATGAAAAACAAAAAAGAAAAACCTAGGAATCTCAAACAGTGATCAACATCATAAGCAATCATTTTTTTAATCTATTGAGAAGTTGACAGTTTCTTTGCTTCATGGCACTGTAATACACTACCTCCACTGGAGTGGTTGTAAGTCCAAGACCTAAGTCCTCGGAGATCACAAAAGCAGTAGCTACCCAAGAAGTGATAGAATCAGGTACAGTAACTTCAAACTCTTGGTTAATCCTGGAACTGAAGTCAAGATAAACATAAAGAAATCACAAAACCAAGAACTGGTACATTTCAAAATAAGTCAACATAACCTAAACCATTTTTTGGAAAAATATTAATTTTCCAAAAATTTACATATCTAAAATTTTTAAAGATTTATTCATAAAACAGTAAGGAATAGGTCATAATAATGTCATACAGATCCATATTAAAATAAAAGCTTTCTACAGTGTTTATACCTTAAGAATGAACATTATTTTCATAAATTTTATATATATAATAAATATATTTTTTCAAAGAACTCTAATTTTGTCTCTTGATTTACATAAGAGTTTGCATAAGCTGTATCCTAATCAATGCTATTACTTGATGGGTATTTTTTTAGGTTTGACTTGTGTCTTATTTTAAGTTTCTGTAAATAGCTGACTGTAAATACGTATAGATTTCATGATTTACCTGCTCAATAATCAGGTAGGTAGCACAGGATTTGTCAACTAAGCTGAACTCCTTACACCACCCACACCCCTTTTCCCTGTGGCTCAGGGGAATGTTTTATGAAAAACCACAAGGTAGAGGAAGCAACCGTGAGTGCTCCCCACCCCAAGGCAACAAATAGACTCTCAGCAATTTTTCTGCAATGAGAACCAAGAGACTGCAAGGAAGTTAAAAATCATCCTTCATTAGAAAAAGGCCTATCTTCTCCTTAATGACACTTTTCACTGGCACAATTCACGTGTGTCTATTAAATACTATATTTAGATGCAATAAATATCACTTTGAAATAAAAACCTCTTGGCCTTTTTAGTTCTTAGCCATACTATGTTTTACTTAAACATTAAAAAACAGGCAAAACACTAAACAAAATATATATAGACAAACAACTTCATAAATTTTTACCCCATGTTGGTGTCTAGCCAAATCCAAGTCTCTGGAAAATGCTTTCTGACACGTGGATTGCCAACTGAAGAAAAGTCAGGTATATCTACCGAGTATCCTTCCTTTTCCTCCAGGGAGTAATATGTATAAAGCACATCGCTTTCATCTACAAATAAACATTGACAACTATTAAGGGGAAAGTCACCATAGAGAATGATCATAAACTTAGTCCACAGAATCACGACACCTCTCGGCTGAACGGGATTTCAGAGTTCATCTTGTCCCGTCCTCTCTTTTTGCAGATGAGCAATATGAGAAATTAAATTACTTACCCAGGGCCAAGTGGCCAGTTACAGCTGAGAGAGAACTACAAAAAAAGTTTCCTGCCCCTATGGCCGATACCTGAAAAACTAAAAGTTTAGGTGCTAAAAAAATCAGTTGAATTACATTTTTAAAGCTACCTCCGCCCGGCCAAGCGTGGCTCAGCGGTTGAGCATCGACCTGGGATCCAGGCGATCAGGGTTCGATTCCCGGTCAGGGCACATGCCCAGGTTGTGGGCTCAGTCCCCAGTCAGGGGCGTGCAGGAGGCAGCCAATCAATGACTCTCTCATCATTGATGTTTCTCTCTCTCTCCCTCCCTTTCCTCTCTCTGAAATCAATAAAGATATATTTTTTTAAAAAAAGCTACCTCCAATTTTACTAGTCTCCTCTTTTTAGCTCTCAAATGCTGACTACTACTGGCTAAACTAGCCATAAGATGTCACTAGCTTTATTCTTATTAGAAAAACCATATTGCTATACAGACTCTGGATCACCTATCTCTATTTTTGCAACTCATCTATAAGTCTAAAATTATTTCAAAATAAATGTAAAAAAATTATACTATAACAGGTACCAAGGATACAAAGATGAATGCAATGAGCTCCACTCAGTCTATGGAGAAGGAAGACAAATATAAAACTGTACGAAACATGACAAGAGAAACAAAGGAGAAAATAAACAAATGGGACTACATCAAAATAAAAAGCTTCTGCACAGCAAAAGAAACCATCAACAAAATGAAAAGGGAGCCCACTGTGTGGGAGAACATATTTACCAATAACACATCAGATAAAGGGTTAATATCCAAAATATATAAGGAAGTCATACCACTTAACAAAAGGAAGACAAACAATCCAATTTAAAAAATGGGCAAAGCACCTGAATAGACACTTCTCCAAAGAGGACATACAAATGACCAAGAGACATATGAAAAAATGCTCAAAGTCACTAATCATCAGAGAGATGCAAATTAAAACCACAATGAGGTATCACTTCACACCTGTCAGAATGGCTCCATCAACAAATCAACAAACTACAAGTGCTGGCGAGGGTGTGGAGAAAGGGGAACCCTAGTACACTGCTGGTGGGAATGCAGACTGGTGCAGCCACTATGGAAAACAGTATGGAGTTTCTGCAAAAAATTAAAAATGGAGCTGCCTTTTGACCCAGTGATTCCACTTCTAGGAATGTATCCTAAGAAACCTGAAACACAACCAGAAAGAACTTATGCACCCTTATGTTCATAGCAGCACAATTTACAATAGCTAAGATCTGGAAACAATCCAAGTGCCTATCAATCAGTAGCTTAGTGGACAAAAAAGCTGTGGTACATTTACACCATGGAATACTAAGCAGTTGTAAAAAAGAAGGATCTCTTACCCTTTGGGACAGCATGGAGGGAACTAGAAAGTATTATGCTAAGTGAAATAAGCCAGGCAGAGAAAGACAAGTAGCACATGATCTCACTCATGTGGAATGTAATAAACAAAATAAACTGATGAACAAAATATATCCAGAGACATAAAAGCATGGAACAGACTGAGGGATCTCAGAGGGAAGGTGAGGAGGGAGAAGTGGGTAGGGAGAGATTAATAAAAGAACTTACACGTTTATAAGCATAACCCATGGACACAGACATTGGTATGGGGAAGGCCTGGGGGTGGGGTGGATGACTGGTAGAGGAGATCAATGGGGGGGAAAGAGGACATCTGTAATACTTTCAACAATAAAGATTTTTTTTAAAAACTAAAAAACAACAACAACCATATTTCTTCTTTTATCTAATTCCAAAATAACATCACAGTGTGCAATACAAATTGAAAGCATAGGATCTTCCAATATGACCAAAATATCACCACCTCAAAGAATTACAGAGAACAAATGGAAAGCATTTATTTCAAAGACCTAGACAGAAGCCCAGTTGAATATTCCATGTCATATCCCAGATGTATTTCCAAGTATATTAAACTCCAAAACATTTTAGGATAAGAGAACAGAAAATAAATATCACAATAACCACGTTCAACTAGAAAGTATCCATACCTATATAAATAATTTTAAATGCCTGAGATGAAAGACTTAAATACTTTAAAAGCACACTGTGTTAGGTTTTACTTACAAATACCATCAACACGATCCTTCACAAGGCTTGCATCCGTCAATACCCAGAGGCCACATTCCTAGAAACAATTAAAATTTTCTCTTAAAAGGTTAATGCTCTCTAAATTGTCACAGCAGCCTCCCAAACTCCTAACTCACTCTTGCTCATTTGTTTTCATGCAGAATGTTAAAGTGTTTGTTTTTTTACTCTTGCTCAATTCTGAGTGTTTAGGTACGTACATGAGCATACATTCTCTCTCTCTCATATACGGACACAGATACATGCACAAACACATACACACACAAAACAAGCCAAGGAAAGTGATATAAAGGAAAGAAATTATTTGTTTAATGACAATTCCATTAATTTTGCTAATAGAGAATTTTTTCATTTGCTTTTAAAACTGGAAGGATGATTATCTTTCCATTTCAAATTACTTATATGATATTCTGCACTTCAGCAACACATTTAATAAAAGGTTAACATTTCATAATTCAAATCATTAATTCTAAAAGTGTTTGCAAGAGTAAAAGATATTAATATATTTTCAAGTTATACAGCAAACTAAACATACCTGAAAGACTGTAAATGAATTCATGTACGTGCCTAAATAATATCCCGTGTTATAAAGTTCCAACTCATGGACCACCTAAGGAGAAGATAAAATATATGGAATGGATAGATTCATATGAACCTGTTCTGCCCTCTGCAACATTTCTTACATGTAATTTAGATAAAACGCAGCACACATACTTATCAATTTGAAAATGATGCAGAGAAATAATGAATATGTAAATGCCTTGTTCATGATTCAATCAGTCAAAATTACATTTCTTATTTAAACTTATTGTTATTCTGGTTAGCAATTGAGAGTTCCTAAGAAGTATGGCCTTGGATTTTGCCCAAGGGGAGTTCAAACGCTGCTTATTGACAAGGCTGACACATAGAGATCAGCATTAAAAATGACCAATACTGCCCGGGTGGGCGTGGCTCAGCAGTTGAGCATCAAGGTTCGATTCCTGGTCAGGGCACATGCCCAGGTTGCAGGCCCGATCCCCAGCAGGGAGCATGCGGGAGGCAGCCGATCAATGACTCTCTCATCGTTGATGTTTCTCTCTCTCCCCCTCTCCCTTTCTCTCTCTGAAATCAATAAAGACATATTTTTTTAAAAAAGGGCAATACTTTTGGCCAAGATAAACAAGCTAAATTCAGGGGTTAAAATAAGTTCTGCAAAATATCAGTCAACTTTTTTTAAATAGCACAAAAAGAAAATTCACAAAAGATGAAATGCAAATTATTAATAAGCAGAAAAAATATTCAACCTCCTTGATAATCAAAGTAAATGCAAATCACAACACCCATGAGATATCTGCATGTATCATGTAATTTTTTTTTAAATATATCTTGATTGATTTCAGAGAGAGGAAAGGAGACAGAGAGAGAGAGATAGAAACATCAATGATGAGAGAGTCATTGACCCAGTGATTCCACTTCTAGGAATATATCCTAAGGAACCCAAAACACCAGTCACAAAGAACTTATGCACCCCTATGTTCGTAGCAGCGCAATTCACAATAGCTAAGATCTGGAAACAGCCCAAGTGCCCATCAGTAGATGAGTGGATAAAAAAGCTGTGGGACATTTACACCATGGAATACTATGCAGCTGTGAAGAGGAAGGACCTTTTGGCCTTTGGCACAGCATGGAGGGAACTAGAGAGTATTATGCTAAGTGAAATGAGCCAGTCAGAGAAGGACAAATACCAAATGATCTCACTCATATGTGGAATATAATAAACAAAATAAGCTGATGAACAAAGTAGACCCAGAAACATAGAAGCATGGAACAAACTACAGGATCTCAGAGGGAAGGCGGGGAGGAGGGCGTGGGTAGGGAGAGATTAATCAGGGAACTTGTATGTTTATGGGCATGGCCCATGGATGGGGACATTGTGTGGGGAGGGCCTGGGGGTGGGATGGATGTGGGGTG